CTAAGCCGGCAGGTGGTCATCCCCCAAGGGGTCCCAGACTGCAAGAGGGCACAGGCTGGGCTGAAGGACCCCCCTGAGTGCACAAATTTTTGTGCACCAGGCCTCTAGTCTTAAATAAATAAAGATTATATCTTATATGATCACTTTTTTTTAATACACTACCAACTATTTTTTCTAATGCAGCAGTATTTCCTAGGCCTCTAAAACTCACCTACTTTCTTCACAGGCTTTTCCACTTCCAAAGGAGACATTTTTACTTAATAAGGCCAGGAAAATGATGGAATAATAGACCATGCGTCCAAACAGTGCAAGCACCAGTCACCTAAGGCAACAGTGCATGCTGTGTCCTCTTTCTGGTCCAGACATAACATGAATGATTTTGCTGCAAACTCATCTATTTCATGTGTTGTTTAAATTTGGATAACTAATACAGGCTAACATTTTTTTTGCAAGTTGTTACAGTATATATTCAGAAAATGGGAGTTGAGATAGGGCAGACACCTGTGTTCTTGTTTATCCCACAACAGCCTTTGAGTTCAGATGGTGGACCCTCCACAGGAAGGTGTGAGGCTTGGAGATATGGCCACTGTCAGAAGTGCAAGTGGAGGATGTGGCCTGAGAGCTTCTGCATGCAGTACCTTTACACCATCCCCACCACTGAAGTGACACCAGCCTGGAAAATCCTGTGAAATCAGAAATAGGGCTTGTCCGGTTGGAGGTTAAAAAGGAAAAATGCCCTCCACACAGGGCTGGGTATGTGCTGGCACCACTGGGTGGTGGTCCCCTACCTCAAAGGTTGGGGTGCAGCCTGAGATCCCGCTCACCAGGGAACTGCTCATGCATGTCAATCTGCATACATCTTCAGGGGGTTCACAGATTCTGTGAGAACCATCTGTGGGTCCAAGGTGGGAGCCGTATGTGGTTCCTGACTTTTAATTCGTTTCCCTGGAGATGATTTTATTGAAAGTGAGGCAGTGAAATGAGTCTCCTAGAAAGGACCCGTTTCGACCTCAGCTCTGCCTCTCAGTGGCTATGTGACCTTGGGCAATTACTTGCCCCTTATGAGCTTCTATGGGGCACCCATATGTGGTTCTGGAACCCAGACCTACCCTGCCTCTAAGGCACCACCTCCTCAAGTTAGAGTCCATAGCTTACAGTTTTCAGGATTTTTGAACTATTTGTTAAGACTCTGGTTTTGGTATTAAGTTTCAGCAATCCCTTAATCTCTCTGATTGGCCTTGGGTGGAGGGCAGGATGGCTAAGATGAGCTCCTTGGTCTGAAGTCAGATGCAGGTTTGCATCCCAACTCATCCACTTACTGGCCCTACGATCTTAACCTCAGTTTTCCTCATCTATCAGATGAAGTTAGTGTTATCAACGTACACATACAATGGAATGCTATTCAGCCACCCAAAAAAAAAGTATTGACATGCTACAACGGCGATGAATCCCGAAAACATGCCAAGTGAAAGAAGCCAGACACAAAAAGTTACGTATTGTTTGATTCCAATTATATACCCCAAACAGGTAAATCCCATGAGAGAGAACACATTGGTGGTGACCAGGGGCCGTGGGGGGAGAGGGCTGAAGAGTTTGTGGTACAGAATCACCTTCCAGGTGATGAAATGACTTGGAACTCAGTAGAGGGGGTTGCACAATGTACTAAATGCCCCTGAATCTTTTGCTTTATAATCATTATTAGTGTAATATGAATCTCACCTCAATAAAAAATATTAACGTTGTCAACCCCAGAGGATTACGAGAGGATTGTGTGGGTTGGTCCTTGCAAGGTGCTTATTAGCACAGTGCCCAGGTAATAATGTACTTTTAGTCTTTTGCAGCTGTGACGATTCATGATAGGGGATGAGTCATTGTGTCCTCTATTAAGGCAGTTACTTGTGCAGTTGACTATTGTATGTTGATTCTCTGAGCTTCAATTTTAGAGGACGTTTTCTGCCCTCATCCCCAAACTGTGAGGGGAAATGGTGACATCTGTGCCTTTACTGCCCTGAGTTCTCCCTAAAGAATTTCACTTCTGTAAAGTAATTGGTTCAAACGTAATGCTTGGTAGGGATTAAACCTACATGAATGGGACACAGTTTCAGGCAGGCTTACCAGGCTGCAGTTGGTTAGATTTCCCCGTGATTCTGAGCCTAGGAGTCTGAAAATTCCTTGTTACTTACTGATTAGTTTTTATTTTTGTCATAATTATTTTGACAAAATAATTCCTAATTATTTTGCCTTTATTGTTAAAGCATTTTCATTCTTTCTTTTTTTAAAAAAAATGCTATCATTTACTTCAATGTGGTTTTTAACTTTTCCCTCGTGGGGGAAGTTTTCCCTCGTGGGGGAGTACTTAGGGTAAAAAGAAATGAAATGCCTCTCCCTACCACCCACCTACCATTTATGATTTTACCACCCAAATTGAATTTGTAGAAATCTGATTACAGACTCAAGTAATTATCCCATGAATGTTAATTTATTTAAAACTCTGATGCCCATTTCTAAAATTGAGAGAGATTTAAACCCATCAATTTAGCTTAAATCTTTGCTTTTTATATATATGCTGAAAACATTTCAAGTCTTGTTACCATTTTGTGAAATATAGGGATGCCTCACTTAAAATACATGATATGAAAAAACACATTTGTGAAATGGTTAAACTAAGGTAATATTTTTTTTATTTCAAAGCAATACAATCTAAGTTATTTTAAGTGGAAAGCTTTAAGCATTTACATTTTTTGGAATGTTTACATATTCTGAAACAATATTGCAAAGGTAGATCTTCTTCCTAACTTAAATGTACATTCTGATAGAGTAGAAACAGTGGCATCGGGAACACTTGGTCCAAACTCTAAGTCTAGCCTAGGAAAAGAGTGGCCACCTTGGAAACATTGCCTAATCACTCTGAGTCTCCGTTTCCTCAGCTGTGAAATGAGGATGACTAATACCTCCTGAGTTTGTTTTGCAGACTAAATGAGATGACATATGAAAGGATCCAGTACATGGTAGGTATACCTCTTTCCCTTTCAGATAAACCAAAAGTGTAAGCATTACCATAACCATTTCTCTAGTTTATGCCCTGGTAGGTAACACAATGGAGAAGGAGGTGATAGAAAAATAGTTTGAGGTAAAGTGAAGACAGCTCTGAAGATGGGGGAAGGTGAGGTAGCAAGCACTTCCTGAATTAAGGGAGCTAGATACGGCCTCTGTGGGCTTTTCAAAGTGATGTTGATTTGGGTTTTCTTGGTTATAGTAGTAATTTATGCACGCTGTAGAGGCTTTGGAAAAATACCTTTGTGTGGGTCATCAAATCAGTAACACTGAGACAAACTCTGACCTCTCTGTGAAAAGGAGCCCAGTGGTCTGTCATCCCATACCAGGGGTCCTCAAACTACGGCCCTTGGGCCACATGCAAATACAAATATTGTATTTGTTCCCGTTTTGTTTTTTTACTTCAAAATAAGATATGTGCAGTGAGCATAGGAATTTGTTCATAGTTTTTTTTTAAACTATAGTCCGGCCCTCCAACGGTCTGAGGGACAGTGAACTGGCCCCCTGTTTAAAAGTTTGAGGACCCCTGCATAAGCATTGAGGGAAGACCATGTGTGCGTGGGTCAGTGCTAAGTGCTGAGATGAAGTGCGTCTGGGGAGGTGGCAGGGAGAACTCTGAGACTTCATCTGGGAAGCAGAGCTGGTACCAACGCTGAGTCTCCTCGTCCTTCTCAAGGCATGATAAAGAAACTTAGCTGGCATGATAAAGAAACAATCAGATTCTCAGTTTATCATTCTAAGAACAGAGCAACATTGCCATCTATTGGTGTTATGAGATGCTTAATTTCCTTTATTGGGGTAAACACTGGAGGGTGGTATTGTGATATTACCAGTAGGAACTTTATAGCCTGCTGAAGAGAAGAAATAACAGGCCGACTACTGCCAGAGTCACCTCCAGGTGGGAACGCAGCCTCTAAAGTAGAGAATGGGGACTGTGGCAGCTTTCAAAAGGGATGTAGCACTAAGACAGTAGCATGAATTGGCATTCCTAATATTGATCTTACCTGAATTGCTTTTTATGACATATTACTTACTTCCTCTCCGAATTTGAATGTTGATGAAAGCAAAACCCTTATTTTCGCTTTTATCTTTGCGAATGCAAAAATTACTGGCCCAGTTGCTGCACATCCTGGGTACCAGGTCACCAGGAGGCCCAGGAGTTAAGTGCATGGACTTTGCAGTCAAACGTCTTTCAACCCTGGTTTTGCCACTGTTTCCTCAGTTTCCCTTTTCATCTATAAAATGATGCCAGCATAATGTTAGTGCCTACTTCACAGGTGGTCTTAAGTGAAAGGGAAGAATAAGAAGTGTTTATTCTGGTGTGGAGACCTTTATGAATACTTGTTAACTGCAGCTGCTATGATTACCAATAATCAGGTAAAGAATGGGACGAGAGAAGGGGAATACTAAGCATGTTAAGATCAAGGGCAAATTGGAATACTATTCCCCAAACTCAACACATTTTTATATTTACCCACTGAGATCTTTACAAATTCTTGAACACCACAGAATAGCAGTCAGAATAGCTGTTCTGTTTAAAGTGGTATCATGTTCGCCCAGCCGGCTTGGCTCAATGGTTGAGTGTCGACCTATGAACCAGGAGGTCACAGATAATCAATGATTCTCATCATTGATGTTTCTATCTATCTTTCCCTTCTCTCTGAAATCAATAAAAATACATATTTTTAAAAAATAAAATGGTGTCATGCTCTGGGTGGGAAGTTTTGTTTTTCTCTAAAGTACCAGAACTTATCGCTTCTCAGCCTTTTGGCTAAGATCAGGTGTAGTAAAGTACCAGCACTTACAAGTACAAACATTGGTGTGCCTGCGTTTTTTCCCACTGAAGTTGCCACTGCTGAAACGTTGACCAGACACCTCTTTGGAAGCAGGCTTTAAGGATCTGTAGCAAGTTTCCTGAATATCTATATTACTAAGTAATTATTGGTACTGTGATGGTGGGTACATTGAAGATGGGTTGGTGCTTTGAAGTTGAGTACCTTGAGGATGGGTTTGGTTTTCAGAAGTGAGACATCACTTGGTGCCCAGGGCTGGAGAAGATGATGTGGTGGAGTCGATCACATTTGGCCAAAAACAAAGTGGTTTCTGGCAGCAGGTTCCAAAGAGGAAATTCTGAAATGTTTTGCTGATTGGCTGTGTAAAGTGTCATGATTATTTGGGTATACAAATTCTAACAAGCTTGTTAAAATCACCTCGTTTTTTTTTTAGTTGCTTATCCCAGCTTTCCCCTTTCGTCTTCTGAGCATTAGAAAAACAAGACATCCTTTCACTGAGTCCTTTCTGAAGTGGCACTTAAAGTGGGAAGAGAAGGTGCTGTATGTAGTAAACCCAGCCGCTGACCTCCTGTCAGGTCAGGCAAAATGAGAAGGAAACCGACTGGTGTTCTGCTTCTGAGGAATTGCCAGTCCAGTTTGTGCGTATGGATTAGAAAGGCTAATTCAGGGGTGCCCATTGCCTCACTTAGATTCTGAGGCCTTTTCTTTTTTTTCCTTTTTTCCCCTATTGTTGACCACCAAGAGGTTACACTATGCGTTTCAAAGAAAAACATTGAGGTGAAAATACTCATTATTTCATAAATTGTAGATGTCTTGCTCACCTTCTTACAAATGCCCCCACCTTCTGGATTCACATGGAAAGGTGAATTTTCAGCTCTCATTAATTTATAGGAAGAGTTTTCGTTGTTCTGGGAATAAAATATGCTGCCACTTGATGCTTTAACATGGATTCTCAGTTTGAAAACAAATTCTATGGAAAGAATTTTGAAAACCCAGGGCAATTTTTATTAATTTTGTAAATTCTTATACTGCAGTAAACTGAAGTATGCTTAGAGGGAAGCCCTATCACTTTTTTTTTAATTAACCACAGGTCATTGTATTTAGAAATCTCTATGATCTATTAAAAGTAGTCACCCCCAAATATCCTGTCCCTTCTGCGTTTACACAGCGCACTCAGCACAGACCACTCCCCGGAGGAGGACTTGGCTCTTGATCCGGGTGGTCGATCACGTAGAAGCCATGCTCCTCTACCGCCCGGTACAGCGTGATGTACTTGGAAGCCTTCCTGGTCCTGGGGACCACAAATTTCTCCGTGAACTCATTCTTGTCCAGTTGCTCCCTGCCTTCTGTGGCCAGAACGCAGTTAATGAATGTGAGGGTGTAACTGTAGCAGTTGTGGTGTTCTTCTTCGTACCTGCAAAACAGGGACGTGGAGAAGAGAAGGCTTAGCTTTGAAAGCTGCTCAGGGCCTTCCACAACTGAAATCGGGCTCACTCGGCGAGCTGGGCCCCAACCTGGGCAGGGACGCTTGTCCTCTTGGGCTAGTGCAGATTGCAGCTTAAGTACAGAAGAGACTTAACTGAATGTTCAAAGTGGTGAGTGAAGGTGCACATTAACCCCACCTTGGGGAACTTAATTTCACTGAAATTCTAGATTCTAGAAGCAGAATTTCATTTCTTAAATTTTAGGATAGCCTACATTTCAAGGGTAGCCTGAAAACAATTTAAATGGACAAGTATGCTATATATCCAAAGTGTTAAGGGAGCAAGGAATTGAGAAATTAATTTCAAAATTGCTAAAACCAAAAAATAGAACCTTAAAATATTTGTAAATTTTGAATATCATTTAAATTTTTTGTTTTATGGAACATAATATCACAGCTTTTGCTGTACATATTACTATTGAGTGTTAAGTATGTAAAAATACCTATTCAAATAATGAGAGTTCTAAGTTCTGGTCCTTTCAACTCTTAAAATGCTCTGATTCTATTATGTATTACTAGAGGCCCAGTGTACGAAAATTTGTGCACTTGCAGGGGGGGGGGTCCCTCAGCCTGGCCTGCGCCCCCTCGAAGTCCAGGAGCCTCCTGCCACCACCACTGCGCTTGCAGCTGTCAGCAGGGTTTGTGGCTGAGCGGAGCTCCCCCTGTGGGACCACACTGACCACCAGGGGGCAGCTCCTGCATTGAGCATCTGCCCCCTGGTGGTCAGTGCATGTTATACTGACTGGTCATTCCCAGTTGTTTGTTAGGGTCAATTTGCATATTTCCCTTTTATTATATGTAATATACGCTGGCCCACCTCTGAAGAAACCCCTGCTTAAATTCTGTTACAGGTGCTACTACTAAACGCTGCTCAGTGTCCTTTGTGAGTTGATCACATTTGTGTGGCAAATGCGGGCCAGGGAACAGGTGGTCTCAGCAGCCCCATACCTGTGAGGCAGCCAGGCCCCCGTGGTGGAGAAGTCTTCCAGGTACTTGTCCCACTGGTCCATCAGTCCAAACATGCCAGGCTGCAATAATGGGACACTTACACTCTGCTCCCAGCCTGCTTCATCTCGCTGGACACCATGCATAGTGTAATTATAGACGACTCCTGCAACCAAAGCCAGGGTCATGCAGAAGCTTGAGGGACGTGCACCTCTGTGAAAGGGTGCTGTCAGAAAATGACAGCAGCCCCACAGTAACCTGACGTATCGGAAGCCCAGGTTGCACTTTCTGATTCCTGCCAATTAGCAATGGGCCCCGAGAGGCTCTGGGACCTCCTTCCTCCAGGATCATCAAGTTCAGGAGGCAGCCACTCGCCTCGGAGATTTAGAGAAGGTCTTGCCTGGAGTTAAGGAGAGGCTACGGTGCCCCTGCCTCCCCTGCTTTCTGCAAAGCAGTTCCTTCAGGGAAACCCAATTCTTGCTCCACCTGCTCTTCAGCCCTCTGGAGTCACCCCCAGGAAACAGACAATCATAGGCACCAGGATCATCATCTCCAAATATTTTTGTTGAAGTTCTCTGTTTACAAATGGGCCTGGCTTTCCTTCAGTCAGCAATAAATTTCTAGTGGTCAGACTGGTGATAAAGTTTACTGTTCACATGGGTAACTCTGAGTTCAAAAACCCAGTCCTAGGTTTCTGTTCACAGTATCAGTTTCTCCTGCCTCAAGGAGGTGGACAATGGCTCACCTGGCTGGCTTGCTCTCCATTCCCAGGCCTGCAACTCCTACAAGTGGCTCACCAGGCCCTTTTCCTGCAGACAAGGATGTTCTGGGTTCAGGGGTTGCAGACCCTGTGCCCTCAGAGCTAAATCTGGCCAAAAGGACTGTTTTATTTAAACATGCTGCTGCTGTGTTTTTGTTTTTTTACAGAAAACTGCTGCAGGCTCCCCCACCTGCTCAGGTGTCATATCCCCTGACTTATCCAGAGGTTTCTGCCTAATTCCTGGAGACCCTGGAGTGTGAAGACCCAGTAGCAGTGGGCTGAGTGAGTACAGGATTGGAGAGCAGAGGGCCTGGGTCCGGATTCTGGTTCCCACACCCGATGAGGTCTTGGGCAACTCAATCTCTCCAGAATTCTGTTTTTTCCTTGTTTAAACACCAACAAAAAACTAAAAGGTTTCTGTCACTCTTGGCTGAGAAAACATTAATGACCTTTTTCAAATATTTAGTATTGTTAGTAATACTTTGCTGTACAGTCAAGTGTTTCTCATTTGGGGGGATAGTAGCATCACTCACCTCATGGCCCAGCAAGAGAACCCAGGGACCAGAGGAATTCCTAGTTAAATGTTGCACGATCACTTTTCTTTAGAAATGCCACTCTCATCTGGATACTTTGGGGACTTTTTAAGCTTTAAAAAAATATGAAAATGCACTCACCATTTGTGTTAGTTATTCCAACATGAAGATCAGACCTTCCATCATAGTCTCTGAAAGAAACAAATATTTTTTCCTCATTTGCAAATGTCTGGCACAAAGAGTTGGTACTTAGAGTGGGGGAGTGATGGGCCTCCTCGCTTGCCTGGTGCCAGATTGCCAACAGTGTCCAGGTTAGTAAAAGCCCTGTTTCAAAGCTGGTTAGGCCAATTCTACATTTGAGATCTAAAATTCCCCCCTGCCCCCATGTATTTTGTTGCCCCGCCCCCCAATGCTAAATGTGAGTGTGCTAGAAGGCCAGTCCTGCTAGAGCAAAAAGTCAGCATTACACCTGGCAGAGGAGCCCACCCAGAGGTGAATTGTTGAAGGAGCACCTTATTCTCTCCTCCTTTTTCTGTGAGGTGACAGCCCGTTCCTCAGGCAAACATGGGTGAGAGGCTCCTGATGCCTCAGTGGATTCTGCCTCCCAAACTGATATGGCCCATTTTGGTCTTGTAGCCTGTGGCCACACCCACTTCTCTTGGACAGCCCTTGTTTCCTGGAATTATTATTTACCTGAGACTGGACAATAGATGTATAAGTCCGTATAATTTAACCTTCGTATACAGACCCAGGCCATCACTTACTAGCCCTGGGACATTGGGCAAGTCATTTACTCTCTCTAATCCATTTCCTTCACTATAAACTGGGAATATCATAAGCCTCCTAGTGAGCTGGTTGTAAGAATAAAATATCTATTGAGTGCCTGCCACACAGGTTATTTTTTTTTTAATTAAATCTTTATTGTTCAGGTTACATTTGTTCCTCTTTTTTTCCCCCCCATAACTCCCCGCCTCCCAGTTCCCGCCCCACCCTTCGCCCTCACTCCCCACCCACTGTCCTCATCCATAGGTGCACGATTTTTGTCCAGTCTCTTCCCGCATCTCCCATTCCCCTTTCCCCCCCAAGAATAGTCAGTCCATTCCCTTTCTATGTCCCTGATTCATTATAATCACCAGTTCATTCTGTACATCAGATTATTTATTCACTTGATTCTTAGATTCACTTGTTGATAGATGCATGTTTGTTGTTCATAATTTGTATCTTTACCTTTTTCTTCTTCCTCCTCTTAAAGGATACCTTTCAGCATTTCGTATAATACTGGTTTAGTGGTGATGAACTCCTTTAGCTTTTCCTTATCTGTGAAGCTCTTTATCTGACCTTCAATTCTGAATGATAGCTTTGCTGGATAAAGTATTCTTGGTTGTAGGTTCTTGGTATTCAGCACTTTGAATATTTCTTGCCATTCCCTTCTGGCCTGCAAAGTTTCTGTTGAGAAATCAGCTGACAGTCGTATGGGTATTCCCTTGTAGGTAATTGAGTCTCTTTCTCTTGCTGCTTTTAAGATTCTCTCTTTGTCTTTTGCTCTTGGCATTTTAATTATGATGTGTCTTGGTGTGGTCCTCTTTGGATTCCTTTTGTTTGGGGTTCTCTGCTCTTCTTGGACCTGTAAGTCCATTTCTTTCACCAGGTGGGGGAAGTTTTCTGCCATTATTTCTTCAAATAGGTTTTCAATATCTTGCTGTCTCTCATCTTCTGGCACCCCTATTATTCTGATGTTTGTACGCTTGAAGCTGTCCCAGAGGCTCCTTACACTATCTTCGTATTTTCGGATTCTTTTTTCATTTTGCTTTTCCGGTTGGGTGTTTTTTGCTTCTTCGCATTTCAAATCTTTGGCTTGATTCTTGTGCTCCTCTGGTCTGCTATTGGGTGTCTGTATAATATTCTTTATTTCAGTCCGTGTATGCTTAATTTCTAGTTGGTTCTTTATCATAGCATCGAGGGTCTCATTAGTTTTCGTGACTCTCTCCTCAAGTTTATTGACAGCTTCTAGCACATTTTTGCAAGCCCTCAAAATTGCGATTTTTAGCTCTATATCCTCCATTTCTGTCATGTTTTTTTGTCTCTGCATTTTTTATGCTTTCTTGGTGCACCCCCTAGTGGTCTTTGTGCGCAGTCTTGTTCTAGTTAAGCCTTGATTGTTCTGGTTAAAACTAGAGGGATTTGACCACCAGGCCGACTCCACACAGGTTATTTTTAAATAATAAAGCTCCTTTATCAGACCACAGGTCTGAATATTTGGTTCCTCATTAAAGCAAGCAGTTGCAGGTTTTAAAATGACCAAGGACACACATGGCTGCCCCATCTCTTTAGAGCAGTCTCCTCCAGGTCATCTTGTTGGAGCCACTTTGAGTTTTTTTGAGACCCTGGGGCTTCCAGAGGTTGAAAATGAGGTGTGGCTCGGTGGTTGAGCGTTTACCTATGAACCAGGAGGTCACGGTTCAAATCCTGGTCAGGCACATGCCCTGGTTGCAGGCTCGATCCCCAGTGTAGGATGTGTAGGAGGCAGCCAATCAATGATTCTTTCTCATCACTGATGTTTCTATCTCTCCCTCTCCCTTCCTCTCTGAAATCAATAAAAATATTTTTAAAAAGAAATGAAATGAAAATGAAGCTGAGAAAAACAGGAATAGTCTTGGGTGGCTGATGACAGCACAACACCTGCCGAATTTTCTACCCCAAGCTTATTCCCTGAGCACATCACTGCCCTTGGTTTCCTGCCTAAATCCTAGCATGTCCTCCCTCGTTCCCTTCTTTCCTTCAGTTATTTCTCAGTCTTGCAACACATGTTTATTGGGTGTCAACTATGAGCCTGTACAGTCAGGTATTTGTCATATTTTGAAGTGAAGGGCTAGTGACATATGGTAGTTAGCTGGCAAGTGAATAGTCAACTCTGATGTTCTCATCCCAAGCACACCTGAGGGCATGAGAGAGTTGGGAGCATTATATCGGGATGATGCACATGGACACGCTTCCTAAAGCATGTGCCATCATTCAGTAGCATCCCTGCTCTCTTGCAGCCAGGCTTGTCCATTTGTAAACTCCACCAGGACTCTCAGGAGGCACAATCCTTTCTTTTGATTTCTGAAATCTGAAAGTCAGGTGGTGCCTGCAATAGAAATAAACCAGCTCCAGTCTTCAATTTAATTTACCTCCATGCAAAAGAGTCTTCAGGCTCCGTACATTGACCCTGCTTGTCAGAGAGATTACAAACTAACTCACAATAAAGGTATTTTGATAAGCTTGGCTGCTGGGTCATTTTTTTTCAATTAGCCTCTTAGCTCAAAATCTATGGTTAAGTAAGTCTCCAGACTATGGATTTTTCTCTCTTAAAATTGTATAAGTAGGCTTGCCCTTCATATGTTCTTGCACTTACCACTCCAGGAAAGTATGCACATCATCTATTTCTATAAAACAAATAGGCCTACATTTTAGAATTAAATGCCAAAAAAACTGGAAAGAATTATCCACCACACTTCACTCACACTGTAAAAGAAGGTTTTAGTGACTACAACACAGAAGGAAAGTTTGCACAATTCAATGTAACACTTAAAAAACACTGACGTTACCTAAGAAACGTCCCTTGAGTTGGCCTGAGGAGGAATGAACACTTTTCTTGATGCCCATTGGCGAACGGATTGGAGATGCTAACAGGTGCTTCCTCCAGCTTCCTGGAGCCCACATCCCGCCGGCAGAGGGGGCAGCACCGCGGCACACTGAAGCTGTAGATGTGTTTCCTGCAATGGTTGAACTTAATTAAAGGCTTTCCGGCCGCTGCGCACTGCATGGCTCTCCCGTCCTGGGCAGCCAGGGACGGTGTCCCCAGACTTCCTTTTCCTGATGGCACAGGTAGCAAATTCCCGCAGCGCGAGGAACCTGATCAGCAATGACGTCATTCTGATTGACGGCCTCAGAGCCAAACCGGGTAGAATTAACCAGGACAGTAACCAGGCCGCCCCTAAAACTAGCGCCCTAAAGAGCTTTCATTTTCCTTTCCATTTGTGCTTGCTTACCAGACTGTTTTTCCAGCCTTCATACATTTTGCAACTGTTGGCAGCCAGCTCCCACTCATCCTGTAAAGCCCTAGGTTTCTGTAGAACTTTCTCAGCTTGCTCCGGCGTTCCCGTGCCCTGCGGCGCTGGATTCATGTTTCCACCTGAGCACTGTCCTTTAATTAGTCATAAGTCTATACGCCCCTCGGAATTAGGCATCCTCACTTGTTTTTGTGTTTCTAGCAAAGTTATATCGTTTTGGCTTTGAATAAGTAACCTTACTTTGAGGTTACTCTCCTTTGATGCTTTATATTGTAGAAGTAATCTTGCTCATAAAAAAATTAACAGCACAGTAAAAATAAAGATAGAGGTTACCCTAGTTAACCAAACTAAAAGGATAACAGACAATTCCACAGTGGGATTATACTACAAATAAAAAGAAATCAATAAGAGAAGGCTAACTAGAAAATTCCCAGTAGTTTAGAAATTAAGCAGCATACTGCTAAATAACTTATGGGTCAAAGAATAAATAACAATGGAAATTAGAAAATATTTCTAATCTAATCGTAATGACATTAAAACTTGTGAAATACAACTAAAAGGGGCTGAGAGGGAAAATTATAGCTTTAAATACTTAAAGAAGAAGCAGCTAGAAAACAAGAACAATTTGAACTTAAAAATATAGAAAAGGAAAGATAATAAAGATTAGAACAGAAATCTGAAGTAAAAATCACACATACAATACAGAAAATGAACAAAGCTAAAGTAAACTGCAGGATGAGATGGCTCCCATGGTAAATTATTCTGAACATTTAAGAAAAAATGAATACCTACATTACACAGACATTTTCAGAGAATTGAAAAGAAGGAAGACTTCCAAACTCATGCATAGCTCAGATACTAAAACTTGACATGGACATTCTGAGGAAGGAACACTACAGACCACTACCTCTCATGAACAAGGATAAAGAAATGCTAAACACAATATTAACCAAGAGAATCGAATGATTTATAGGAAGAATAATGTAACAGAATAAAGAATAAAACAATATGGCTTTCTCGATAGATGGGAAAAGATTTGATTTTTTTAAAAAGACATGTTCATGATAAAAACTCTAAGAAAACTTGAAAGAAAAAGAAACTTCTTTAATTTGATAATAAATAGCTTCAAAAACCCTAGAGCTAACATTTTAATTAATGGTGAAATACTAAATAATTTCCCTGAATTCAGGAACAAGACAAGGTTGTCCACTGTTACTTTTATTTAAGGTTACACTGAGGGTTCTCAGCAGTAAGTCAAGAAAAAGAAATAAAGGATAGCTCAGTTGGTTCAAGCATTGTCCTGATACACCACGGTTGTGGGTTTAATCCTGATCAGGGCACAAAAGAATCAGCCAATGGATACATAAATAAGTGGAACAACAAATTTCTCTCTCTCTCTCTCTCTCTCTCTCTCTCTCCACTCTCTTTCCAAGATCAATAAATAAATTTTTTAAAAAAGAAAATATATAAATATAGCATGGAACAAGCAACAACAATTAGGACATTTTTAAAAATATCATTTAAAATAGGATCCAAAAACCCATCTAGATACCTAGGAATGCATCTAATAAAAGTTGGCAAAGACCTATACACTGAAAACGACAAATTTCCCAATGTAGTTCCTAAATTTCTGAGAGAAATTTCAAAAGTTCTAATTGGAAGTATATACTGTGCTCATTCATTGGAAGACAATATTTTTACAAAAGCAAAGTAAAAGAACTACATACAGTTATATGTTGTTCTTATAGTATGTATAGATCAACACTGACAGCTATATGTTGTTCTTACAACACATATAGGTCTCACCTGTATAATGTTGGTCAAAAGAAGACAAAGAGTACATACTGAATTATTTCATTTATATCAAGGTCAAGAACAATCTAATTTGTGATGATAGAGGTGAGAATTACACTTATCTTTGGGAGCTATTGATTGGGAAGGGGCATAAGGAAGCTGGGTATTGATAATGTTCTTTTATCTGGGTGGTGGTTTCATCAGTGTATTCATATGTAAAATTCATGGGGCATATGTATTTTGTCTGTTATATTTCAATGTTTAAAAATTTTTAAAAGAATTTTTTAAAGGCAATAGGAAATCATTGAAATGGATAAAAGAGTTTAATGACATGATCCGATTTACTTTAAAAAAAAAAAAAAGGTTTTGTGTAACAACAGACTAGAAGAGGGCAGGAGCAGAAACCAGAAGAGCAGTTAAGAGGCCATTGCATGGGCCCGGGTGAGGAGTGAGGGTTGCTCAGACTAGAACCATGAAAGTAGAAATGGAGACAAGAGGATTCATTGGAGAGCAGGATCTGCAGGATATAGAGAACCAGAGGGACGTGTCAAGAATTATCTTTCTAGCCCTGACCGGTTTGGCTCAGTGGATAGAACGTCAGCCTGCAGACTGAGGGGTCCCAGGTTCGATTCCAGTCAAGGGCATATACCTTGGTTGCGGGCACATCCCCAGTAGGGGGTGTGCAGGAGGCAGCTGATCGATGTTTCTCTCTCATGATGTTTCTGTCTCTCTATCCCTCTCCTTCCCACTCTGTAAAAAAATCAAATATA